ATATATATATATATATATATATATATATATATATATATATATATATATATATATATATATATATATATATATATATATATATATATATATATATATATATATATATATATATATATATAACGTACACAAATTTTTTTTACAAAACGAGTGGTGACATGACTATTTTAAAAACGATCAATGAAAATGTACTAAAAGATTGATGTTGTTTGACCATATAAATATTAAACATTAACCTTATTTTGTGATGAATTGATATTATTTAGTCTGGGTAATTTCATAATTACCAAACTCAATTTTATATAAATATAAAATTTATACTTTATTTTTGTGAAAATTATTATTTCTAAACCTGAATCAAATTTTATAATAGTCCTTAGCTTTTACATACCCCAAAATAAGACTCATGTTAACATAAAATTATAGAAAAATCTTCAGCTATATTTATTTGAAAATAATCTTAGATAAACATCGTAAAATGGAGTGGGAGTCTTATTCAGAACGGATGGAACCATTTACGGAATAACTTTTTTACATGAAGTTCTTCTAAATAATTTTAAATAATCCAAAATATTTACTTTCAAATTTGTGAAATTATATTTATATTTTTATTTTTTATATTTTCATCTTATAAGATGTAAAATTGTTTTTTCATATTTAGCTTCTTTTATTTCAAAAATGGGCTAATTTAGAAAACAATTATAATTAGAAATGACCATTTTGTAAAAATAGTATAAGTTTTAACAACGTTTTTGCGGCTGTTAGTCGGGATTAAACTAAGCAATATTGCCAATGCAATTATCGAATATCAACTTGGTAATTAGCTTGTCTTGGTGACTAATTTGAGAAACTGAATAGTTATTGAGTATCATTTTAAGAACATACACTAATATATAAATAAATTGATTTGCAAACAGTTAATAAAGTAGTTAAGAAACTAAAATTTGTTACAATTAACTTTTGTTTATAAAAAATTATTCATGAAATGTTACAAAATTACAAAGGAAAGTTTTTAATAAATAAATTAATTTAAGATTTTAGTATTTTATGTTGACTCTATAATCATATCTAGACTTTTTTAAAATATAAATCGTGATATCATTTTCTATTATATTCAAAATATATAATTATAATATACTTATGATTATTATTATTATCATTATTAGAGAAAAAGACTAAAATAGGAGTAAAATATTGAAAATATACAAAAATAGGAGTCCAATGTTGCGATTACTGAAGAGGCCAGTTCCCGTGACATAGGGAACCAATGTCATGGGATGACCCGGGGGTGCTCCGGTGCCCCGTTCGTAAAATTGACGGTTCCTACCTTCCTAACCCCCCGGTAAACCCTCCCCCCACCCCGCTCCGACCCGAACACACCCCCCACCTCCTTCAATTGCACCCCCCAAGTTGATTTTGAATTGGAGTCAAAATTTGACTCCAAAGTCAAAATTAACTAAGGGGGTGCAATTGAAGGGGGTGGGGGGTGTGTTCGGGTCGGGGCGGGGTGGGGGCTTTACCGAAGGGGTAGGAACCGTCAATTTTACGAACGGGGCACCGGAGCACCCTTGGGTCATCCCATGACATTGTTCCAAATGTCATGGGAACCAAGGGGATTACTGAAATAAGAGTTAAAATACATTTACATTATTAATCATGACCATGTACATTACGTAAAATGCACATGCAGATAGAGTGCCACATTATTACAGTGCGAACTCCTACTTAGGGAATAAAAACACGGAACTCTTATTTTGGTACAATCTCTATGTTTTAGTCATATTTATGGTGATTTCTTTCATTATTATTATTATTATTATTATTATTTTACTATTATTATTGTTGTTGATGTTGTTGTTATTATTCTTATTAATTATTAGGGTGCTCTTCTTTTGGCAACCGATTTTGTTTACATAATATGACAAGAGAGAAAGACTAAGTAGGACCAAAACATTGAAAATATACCAAAATAGGACTTCCATGTTTTTATTCCTGAAATAAGAATATGCAATTACATTACCAAACAAGGTCATGTGCATTACCAAAAAGTATGGTAATTGCACATGTATAGTGCCACATTATAAGCACATTACCACAGTGTAAAGTCCTATTTCGGGAAAAAACATGAAAGTCTTGTTTTGGTACTTTTCTCTAGGGGTGGGCACGGGCCGGTCCGAGCCAAGATTTGTATAAACCAGACTTGACTTGTATTTTTTTAAAACGGTCCGGGCCGGAACGGGTTTTCAAAATTTTAAAATTGAAACCGAACCTAACCCGGCTTGTTTGAAACGGGTTGATTCCACGGGTCAACGGGTCCGAACCTATCATGATACTAATATTTAAAAAAATAAAGGGATAATAAATTAATTTAAGTCATCCAACATAAAAAAAAGAGGCGTAAATGAAAGTAAAACAATGACAAAGAGGGGCATGAGAGTAAAGTGTACACCCCATGATCATCCAACAACAATAATAAAAAAGAAGACAACCATATTTTGGCATTA